TATGTGTTTTTCCTGGATCCTTCTGGGATATAGTCAGCTATAAATGAGGGGGCTTCAAGGAGAGATATATATTTTTCTTTTTTTTTCTTTCTAAAAAATGCTTCCATTCAATTCATTCCCAGATACATGAGTTACAACTGGACTTTCAAGTCCATAAAAAAGAAAAAAAGCATCTCCTATACCTATGAAAAGCACGGTCTATCCAATTTATCACCTGGAGATTAATTTACAATTTCCTCTTGAGAGATTACAGATAATGATTAGGTCAGTCATTACAGTTTATTGTCAACTATTCAAAATTTAGAAATAGCTTCCTTATGTGGGAAACAAAGGTGGGGGGGAACGCTCAATGTCTGACCTGCCAAACTGAACACATTCAGTCATTATTCACACAACTTTTGTTGAACACTCAACATAAGCCAGAGACTGTGCCGGGCACTGGAACTGCACGAGCTGCTTCCAGGTCTTGCAGAATTCACAAAATTTGGATGAACTAGATACAGCGGACCAAAAGTCTCAGAGAGAAAGAACAAGAACTGAAAATAATTTTGTCTGATTTGTAATTCTGCAAGTTGCAATTTGACCTCAATGAGGGACCCCTAGGTGCTGCATCAATGAAAGTAATGTTCACCACAAGTGCAATGACTAGGTTACCCAGGGACTGAGAGCTGGTCTTCAAGCCCTCCAAATCAGATTATTTCCATCTGATCCTACCCTTTCTCTGCCAAGAGGATAAGAAAAAAAGAAAAAGAAGGGTAGGTCAGCCATTTCCCTCACACTCGCCCAAAGAGAACCTTTTCCATAAAAGTTCAAGGCCTCGTAAATGAATGTCTCATCTACAACCTGACAAGCAACTTCATATTCAGACAGCTCCAAAAGAACAGAGACTACAAGACTACTTTTAATAATCTGGCACATTCCTTCATGTTTTTTTTTTAAATTTTTTTAATGTTTTATTTATTTCTAGGAGAGAGAGAGAGACAGCATGAGCAGGGGAGGGTCAGAGAGAGAGGGTGTCACAGACTGAAACAGGCTCCAGGCTCTGAGCTGGCAGTCAGCACAGAGCCAGACGCGGGGCTCGAACCCACGAAACGCGAGATCATGACCTAAGCGAAAGTCGGACGCTTAACCAACTAAGCCACCCAGGCGCCCCACATTCCTTCATGTTTTGTGCCTGCATGTATGTGTACACACATGCGTGTATGTGTACACACAGACAGCCTGGCTTTGCACAAACGTTGACTCCATCAAGCACACTAGCTCTACAACTCGTTGGAGCTCAATAATGGATGTGGGAATCTTTCCCTCAGTACACAGAAATGTATTCCACATTCTGCTCTCCTGTCATTCATAAAAATTATGTAAAAATGCATGATTTACTGATAACTTGAATTTGGAAATATTACTAAACAGTGTTAAAAAAAAATCCCAAAAGAAAGTATCAGCAGATTTGTCGTTCTGAATGAGTGTCATTCACAACTCATTTTGCACTACTGTATTTAAACATGTTTTCACATATATACTATTTCATATGATAGCTTCTGCCTCACAGACACTCAAAAAAAACTGGTAAAACGACTTTAAGTCAAGTTTATGAGAAAACAGCTGTCTTGCCTCCGAATTATCCCAAGGACGGAGGCCACATCCCATGTCTGCGTCAGTGTCACCCCTGCTACGTGACACCCAGGGCTGTGCACGGTGTGACTTTTGAGGGATGGCAGCATCAGGCTAGCACACTCCTTTCAACGGGAATTCAGGTTTTCTAGATTCTTAATATCCACATAATTATGTCTGCAGCAAAAATGTGATAGTTCTCTGCTTCATCTTATAACACTTAGTTTAAAAATGAAATCAAAATTATACACAGCAAATACCAAATCAGCTTCGTTCTATTAAGCCAAGACTGTATGGAAGCATGCAGCAGTCTCAAAAAAAAAAGGATGTACACATCTGGAATTTGCAGAGTAACACCTGGAACAACAACAGATATATTAACAATATGGTACTAACTTCACTAACATTTCAACAGATATTCAACAGGTACTCTGGATAGTTACTGATCAATTATTATGTGTACAGCATGAAGGAAAAAATGATGTGTTTGGTGCCAAACCAGTAACAACAACAATTGGAAATGATCATAATTATTTTCAGCCTTTAACATAATTACAAGCTAATAAAATATGAGAATTCAAAAGAGGGCAAGGTCATGGGGGGTGACTGGGAGCGTGCGGTGCCTGCCCTCCATAATCCTCAGGGTTCTCACTAAACGCTGCAAAAGAAGAAACCAACCAATGAGAGAAAGGGTGCTTGAAAGTACTCAAGTGCTAGACTTGGGAAAAAGTCATTTAAAAGGACCTCATCTTTACTGAGAGATGAAAAACAATGCAATTATCTCAGGGGCCAGGCAACAGAGGTCCACTTACAGACGAATTACGTTTATTAGAGCACAATAATAAGCAAACCCGAAACCTGATAATTAAAACTTACATATTTTATCAACAACAGTAAGTACATCTTCAATGTAGCACTCTACAGTCTGTTTCTCTAGCATTACGTCATTCCAGCATCTTACAGCAGACTGTGTTAGCAATTTATCTTCTTTAAAATTGCCTACCATTCACCTTTTCCTATGATCTTATACACAAAGCTTACATACAAAGTTCTTATTATTCACTGTTCACATTACAGGAGCTAAAAATGTGTTGCAGGGGTTTAACATTTCCTGAAAACATCCGTGAAAGCAGGTACAGCTGCCTTCTAGCCTTGCTGAGTTTACTGGAACAAACCCCTGTGCCTTTGCACATGCTATGGTACTGCACTTCACAGTTTCCTTACCATTACCCAAAGAACCTGAGTACCTGTAGAGCCCTCGCTACCATCATTCTCCTAGAACTACCCTCGCCCTCATCAGTCCACCTCAGTAACCTTTCCACTTTTTCTTGTATATGCCAAGTATCTCAGAGCCTCTGCATTTACTGTTCCTTCTGCCAAGAATGTTCTTGACCCAGATAGTCACACAGCTAGCTTCCCCACTTCTCCTGGGTTACCAATCAGTGAGGCCTTCCTTGGCCACTTTATTGAAAGTCTCAACCCCTCCAATCCTGATACTCCTCTCCTCCTTTTTTTTCTTTTTCCTTCCCAGCATGTATCTCTTCACATTTTTCTTAGATGAATACAAGGATTTGGCTTGGTTTGTTCACTGCCAAATCCCCAGTATTTTTACACCATTGTGCCTGGCACATAGTAGGCACATGATAAACCCCAGGCCAAATTTGTTGGGGTGGCCAGGACATCTTTATAAAGAAAAGTGAAGTGACTTAGCCATGTCAGATCAAGCTTCTAAAAATATCCTCCTAACACTCCATAAAAATCTGAATCCCCTTTCAATAATTTTCTTTCAAATTTCCAATAATGCTCCAATATTGCAATCAGTTTTATAGATGAGTCCAATATTCTATTATAAGGCAAGAACAATTCATCACACATTCCTCTATTCCTTGTAATGACTGGCTCAATGGTCTCCTGTGGTAAGTAAATAACTGCATGAGTGAATGCATGTAGAAGGCACTGCTAGATTTTTACTTCAGTTTCCTGAGCCACCTACACTACAAAAGGAAAAGTTTAATCGGGGTTAGAGAATAGTGTTATCAAAAGCAGAACATTTTACTAGATATTCCTTTTAAAAAAAAAACATTTATAAGTTGTCCACATCTGCAAAGAACAGCATACAGCAGGTGCTCAAACATTTGGCTGAATGCGTGAAAAGTTAAAAGACAGTCTCAAAATTAGAAGCCGAATAAAAGCTCCTCTCAATCTTACACAATAAAAATTTAGGTTCAGAAGTATGGCTTTTCAAAAACAAAGGTTTTGTGTCCTCTGCCCTTTTGGACCTTAAGAATCTGATTTGCTAAGGTCAATCTGCCGTGCACTGTGGACTTGTATTTGTTAGCAAGGGCCAGGAAAATGTTGAGACCAGAGTACGGCTTCCCTGTCATCCAACAACACCATCAGAACTGGGCGAATTATTAACTGTAAATCTGACTATCGTGAAGGATTCAAAATAGACGAAATACAATGATTTTCCGAAAGGGGTCTGAGTCCACATCTAATGTCCATCAACAGATAGCTGTCAACATAAACACCAACATTAAGCATCTCTTTTACAAAACTCTATTTAGATATTAAACATAAGATAAACACTGAAATTTTTTAAAAAGCATGACGGGAATATTTACTGAGAAATTGTGTTCATTTAGGCCACATTCTGCAACAACGTTAATTAAATACACAAACCAAAAACATCCTCCCAGCCCTCACAATTGTCTGCTTCCAAAGCAAATAACCCCCCAAATCAAATCCTCACGGTACTTTTGCTTCCCATAGTAACATCACCTCCGAGTGGAGAAGAAGCCCTTCGCATCAAATATCGAAATATAATTCTGTGGCTCTGGATTAAACAGATTTGTCGACCTAAGTTAAAACTCGTCTCCTAAGTTGCTTACCTCCTTCTAACCCACCGGATATATCAACAAGCAGCATCAGCACACAAAAACCTAGGGACTACACCAGAAAATCATAGGCACATTTTCCCAGGGCCCAAATCATCGTTCCACGTACAGTAAACTTGAGGCAAACATCGTTATCTGGCTTAATGACCTGTAGTAACAAGACTATCAACGGCGAGCACGTCGGTCTCCCTCCCCTGACATCCAGGCGCACACCGCTCCGTGGTCTGGCCACACTTTAAAGAGTCAAGACGGAAAAGACGAGATTATGAAACCATAAACAATAAACATAGTACATCCACCAGGCGGTGGAAGAAACTATTCATTCCCCCCAGAAGCTGCCATTTCTCCTCTGGTTCTCCAGCTTCTACTAAGGAAGTTGTGAAATCCGCAAACACACCCCATCCCAAATCTATCCGTGGGGCGGGCGGAGGCTGAGTCATTCCCGAGAGTAACTTTATCCCGATCGCGCACTCCGGGGTCGGGACAAAGCTGTCTCTGCGTTCCTCCCGCGGGGTGCCGCGTGCGGCCCCGGCCCAATACCCTCTCTCCGGTTTGTCAAGCCAGAGGCGGCACTGGGGGCTCAGCCCGGCATGGACCACAGAGCGGATGCTTGCGGGTGGGCTCGGCGTCCCTCGCCCTCCGCCACTCCCGCAGCTCGGCCCAGGGCGGGCCGGGGACACGTTCCGGGAGGGATCCCGGCGGCCCCGGCCGAGGACGCCGCACGCAGGCCCCACACCTCCCGCAGCCCGGCGGGGCTGCGACTCAGACCGCGTGTCTCCGCAGGGGCCGTCGCGCCAGGGAGGCGGCCGCAGGGCAACACCTGCCGCGGCCGGATGCGCCGGGCCGGCGGGCGCACACACCTGCGCGCGGGCGGTGCTCCACCCGGACGGGACCCCACCCGGACGGGACCCCGGCGTCCCCGGCCCGCCGTGTCCGGGCTGGCCGCGCGTCCGCGGTGCCAGATGGGGGCAGGGGACACGGGCGGCGACGGCACTTACCTGGCAGCACCTCCTCCTCCACCGGCGGCGGCAGCAGCAGAGCCGGCAGCCCCTGGCACCATCTTCCGCCGCCGCCTCGTCCGCGGCGGCGGCTACCAACCGCCCATCAGGCACCGCCAACCGACACAACCGCCGGCGTCCCAGATGCCGGTCGCGGCCCCGAGCTCCGGGCGGGAGGGAGGGGTCGGGGCGGAGCGGGGACGCTGTCAGGCCCCTCGGCTCTGGGTCAGGGGCCGGGGACGGGAGGCAGGGGGCCGCGGGCGGTCAGAGCCGAGGGGCCGGGGCGAGACGGAGACCCCAAGGCAGCGCCGAGGGCTCTGTAGGGCCGCGGACACCGCCGCGGTTGGGTTTGTTATTGTCGACTCCGTCCCTTCCTCCGCGGAGCACGCCGGGAAACGGTGGGCGGGGGGAGGGGCGCGCCGGGCGGCCGGGGCGGTGCAGGGAGGCGCGCGCAGCTCCGGAAGTCGGCAGGCCGCCGGGAAGGGGACGACTCCGCCCCCAGCCGCTGCCGGCCGGCCTGTTCCTTTGCTGTCCTCCCGTGACCCGGGGACAGACGCCGCTGGGGCGCCCTTTGGCGGTGCGAGCCGTCGTCCGCCCGCGGGCCGCCCCAAGGTGATTTTGACCTTTCTCGCTACCGCGAGTTGGCCGGAGGCCGACCCCGCCGAATTTTGGATTCGCCCCAGGCTAAACAGCTTATCTCTCTGAACCTGTCGCGGAGGAGCGGGGACCGCCGAGGTTCTGTGCCCTCGTCGCCCGGCCGCAAACGGGGCCAAGGTGACGTACCTGGCCGTGGCCCGGCCGGGCTAGATTACCCCCAGCACCACACCCCCGCCGCCGGGACTGCAGACAGCGAAACTTCAAGCGTGGGGCGGCACAGTTTTTCTCAGACCAGGTAAGGCCAAGAAAATGCCCCAAGAGACAAGAAAGAGTTAAGGCTTGGTGGATTGGAATGAAGGTGTGAGCAACTGGAGCTCCGGGCCTCCGCCTTATGAATAGGGAGTTCGTTCCCAGGCGGGTTATAGCCCGAGTTACCGATGGAAAACCATTGCCGGGGGGTCCTGAATTGGTGAAGGTCAGCCACGAGCAGTCACTTGAAACGGAGTATTAAAGTGCGGCGAGCAGAGGTTACACGTCGAATAATAACTCTTGTACAAGTAAAAGCTTAGAGGTGCTGTCGCTATCCAAGGGCCCTTAAGTTGGGTTTACGTAAAAATGACCATTATCACCGTTTTCCAGAGCCATCAAAACAGAACAAGCACTGTTCGGAAGTAGAGTTTGCAGTCCTTCGTGTATCACGGTGGGAACGGATTTAAAATAAAACAAAACGTTGGACTGGACGACCGGTGAGCGTCAGGGATTTTCCGTTTCCATCACGCACGCCAGATGTCTGAAGGTTACATTTGAGAAGTTTTTTCTTTTTTTTTAAACCACTTTGTTTTTAATTTTACATTACTGTATATCCCAGAGAGAATTTATCTGGCAAATTTTTTTGCTTTAGTTGAGTGTTTTTTATTTTTAGCTGGATTTTCTTAATAGTTTATTGTCAAGTTGGTTTCCATATGACACCCAGTGCTCATCCCCACAAGTGCCTTCCTCCATCCCCGTCACCCCCTCCCCCTTCCCCCCATCAGTACTCAGTTTGTCCTGGGCATGCAAGAGTCTCTCATGGTTTGCCTCCTTCCTGCTCCACCACTGTTTTCCCCCTTCTTCTCCCCCATGGTCCTCCATTAAGTTCCTCCTAATCCTCCTATACATGCAAACATATGGTACCTGTCCTTCTCTGCCTGACTTATTTTGCTCAGCATAACACCCTCAAGTTCCATCCATGTAAGCTGGATTTTTATATGCCCAGCAAGATAGAGCTGAAAAGTGAAAATTAAGAGGTTAACTTGTTCTTATGCCTAGGGGCAGGTACGAACTGGCAAGAGTGAAGACAGATGATTGTATTAGTCACAGCATAGTAACCAGCAGCAGAAACGAGGTGGAGAGGAGAGATTTGGCCAGAAAATTGGTAAGCAAAACACACTGTTAGGCCTGTAAGGAATGTCCTCGTGCTTAACCTTCTCTTAGCCTTCACTGGGGTTCATCATGACAGATACAATACGGTACAGCCTAGAAGGTGGAAACATCACCCAACTAGGCCCGTGATAATCTATGAAATAATAAAATGTTTTTAAATGGCATCTGCCTGACTTCTTTCTTTGGAAGGCAAAGGATTCAGCCCTCATCTTCTCTTAGCCATAGTTAGGAAGAAATGACCAGAAGTGTTTGGTTCATACCCTAAAGGTTTACGTCCTCTCCAGAATATAAAGGTTCAAAGTTCATGTACATCCCATGTTGTTTCTTAGTGATAAGGATAAGTGCATTAGCATTAGCTTTGTTACCTATGTGCAGGCACCTGGAGGAAAAGTACTATTATAGATTACTGATACTGCTTGTGTCCATAGTAACATTTCAACAGGTTACATTTTCTTTATGGAGGACACTGAAAACCCGCTGGGCTCTCTCTTGCTTGGTAAATTAAAACAACAAAACTTCCTCATCCAGCATTACTTCTCCACCAAGCTTCATAAGCAGTCCACAATCTGAAGCCTCATTTCCACCTGCTGCTCTGTTCCCACTGAGATTCCAAACAGATGAACAGGGGCCTCCACACTATTGTGGTAAATGGACAGTACTGGTCCTTTATGAGAACTTTCTAAAGAATTCACTACTTTTAATTATTTGCTTTTTAATTTGCTTCCCTTTTGCCCTGACTCCCTCTTCGCTCTTAAAGCTCTGTGTCCTTTCGTTTGGTCCTCTTCCAGATTGTCATAATTATAACACGATGTACGTGATGCAAATAGCATCGATGGGAGAAGAGATGAGACTTCATCGTGTCCTCATTACATAGTTATTTTTTAATTTAATAAACATTTGGGTCTTTTTGTAGATTTATAGCGAGGCCCAAAGAGAGTGGTGTTTCAGAGTATGTAGGGATTACACAGAGTCTATAGAGAAACACCATTAAGTACTTCAGATCTGTTCAAATCTTTAAAATCCTATTTTTCCTTCAGGTCTCCATTTCAGCATCACTTTCTCAGGGAATCCTTCCCTAACATGTCTGTAGTTCCTCTAGATTATTGTATCTTTTACTATCTGTCTATCATGCTGAAATGTAAGTCCTTTCTCAGTAGAAGGAACTATTTCCGCGATATGTGGCGTACAAACCCCTTGGACATCAGCCAGCTTCTAACTTCTGGGCAATATCGGAATCCACCCAGCCTGCTACCTCTGCTCCATACCACACAATTGTAAATTCTTGTCTCCCCTCTAAGTCTATGAAATCCTTAAGGTTAGGAACTATGAATTATTAATTTTTAAGTCTCCAGAACTTTTTTAATAGATTGGCACATAATTAGCAATTAATAAAGTACTTGTACTGCAGGTTGACCAAGAAGTTACTATGGAAAACTGCTACCCTCAAATAACTCAAAAGCCTGTACAGGGGACCACTCAAAAATCACTGTAGTGAGAAGTTTAAATGACATTAATTGCCTACCCAGAATACATCAGGATATTGGAGGGATTTCAGTTTACAGCTGAGTTTTGTTAACTGCCTGATTTGGGATTTTATTCTGCATGCATTAGGTATCTGTCAGCCTAGTGTAATTGCCCTCATTTTCTTTTAGGTGATATTCAAATAGCAACTGCAATTAACATATTTGGCTTTTTTTTTTTTTTTTTTTTTTTCAAAAAATGAATTAAAATTAACCATTTTTAAAGGTTAGCTCCTTTTTAAAAAGCTTTGGATTTTTTAAGATCCTAGCTAATGATGTATAAAACATGGTCATGCACTACTTACAGACGTCTAGCAATATGATTGTCCAAAGTTAATATTTTTAGTACTGTTTACACATGTTAAAGCTGCCTGGTTCGGTTTGTTGGTACTCGTATTATTCATGATAATGATGATAGTTAACTTATGAGTGTTTATCTTCAAAGCTAGTGATGAGCTTAATGAGCTAGTTAGCCACACTGTTTCTTATGCTGCAACACATACAATACTTCTAGCAGCTGAATTTCCCAACAGATTTAAACCAATAGATTGAGATCAACTATTTTTGGTCATTTTTCACATTAAGTTCTTGTCTTTCATTATTTTGAAGAGCTTTAACAAAGTGTCCAAATACACAGCTGAAGTGTCTTAAAGCAGAAGCTTATCAGTTCTACAGATATAGATTAGACAGACATCAAATGGAAGTCAGACTTCAGGTGCTGACTTTCAAACTTCCTTGGTTCCTTGGTTGTGAATCACATTAAAAAATATGTTTTAGGGGCACCTGGGTGGCTTAGTCAGTGGGGCCTCCAACTCTTGATTTTTGCTCGGGTCATCATCTCACGGGTTCTTGAGTTTGGGCCCTGCATCAGACTCTGTGCTGACAGTGTAGGGCCTGCTTGGAATTCTCTTTCTTTTTCTCTCTCTCTCTCTCTCTCAAAATAAACTTTAAAAAATACATTTTAACATTGTGACTTGGTGCATACATACAGGCCTCTATCACTGAAACCGTGATATGAAAACAATACTTTTGATGCACTCCAATATTTTCTATTTTTGGTCCAATGCTAGTCTTGACCCACTAAATTGATTTTACCACCCTACAATGTCTTGGAAGATCTTAGAATCGGTGACACCGGCCCCAAACCTTGAGATTTTTTTTGGCCCTGATTTTTCCATCAGCTCTTCCTATTTAGACTACACCCCTGGATAGTAAAGTTTATGATTATGTTTATTAAAAAAAATAACCTTGCTGAAGCTGATACAACACTAGTGAGTATATCTTAGATGACAAATGTGGGCTTTAAATGTATAAACCTATTTGTCCTAATAGCTTTATCCAGTTTCTATTCACCATCTCCATTTTTACAGATGAGGAAATGAGGGGTTAAATTACTAATTTCTTCTAGGTAGTGTTCTTCAGCTAGTAACCGTTATGGCCAATAGATGAGCCCAGCCAATGGGGCAGGCTGTATCCTTAAGGACTACACCATGCTGTCCCTTATATTCCTTCATTCCTAGAAGGCGGGGAAGGGGGCAGGGAACGAAAATTTAAAGTCTAGCAATAGGCCACAGAATCTAAGCACTATTCACCTTTTGGGCCAGGTCATTTTTCGTTATATAAGAGGGCTGTTTTCATTTAGGAGATCTGACATTCCTGACGTCTACCCACCTGATGCCAGTGGCACCACCAGTTATGACAATCAAAAACATCTCCGGACATGTTGTAATGTTCCCACGGGGACAAAATCACTTTCTTCCCAGAACCACGGGCTAAAGCATGGCACAGCCATATAATGAAATGCACTGCCATCTGTAAAATTATATTTTAGACAAATATTTAATGACAAAGGAAAGTAGGTTAAAATATAGAACTACTGCACTATGTTTCAAGGTGCACTCTTTCATATGTTAACATCTCTGAATTCTAGGTACATTTAACAATGAATAGGGTCCTGCAATCTTCTTGATGTGGGAAACAAAGGCAAATGAAAATTTACCTTACTGCCTACAGCCCATTGACAATGCCTGGAAACAGCAGATAGACCTTTTTCTGGGAGCTGAGCTGCCTCAGAGTGAGGACACTTTGCTAAGGGCAAATTGCCAACAGCAAAAAGCAATCGTAGGTTAGCATCCCATCCCCCAGGATCCAGTAAGTCTACTTTTAACATATAAAAATTCCTTTGGAAACTTCCTTTATCTCTTACCCCCTCCAGCTCTATGTTGGCAATCATACTCCAACCTTATGGCCCACTAATAGGTATCTGAAGGGTTTCATGACTGAGGTAATAAGTGACCTTTCCCTAAATAATAACCCACCTCCAAGGTCCTGAAGCCTTGCTTCCAAAATTCCTTAGAGACTTACGCTATCCCTAACGTTTTCCCAAACTGAAGGTCTATAACCCAGTCACCTGTCACAAACCCAGTGCAGTTCTTTCTGCCCAGAGGTCCTGTGTCCAGGCTTTAACAAAATCCCCTTTTGCACCAAAGACATATCAAGAATTCTTTCTTGACTATCAGCTCTGAACCCACACCACCACTCCAAACCACATCGTTGGTAACCAACTGCCCTTCGTTACCTGTTTACCAAAGATACCAATAACAATAGCTTAGGAAAAAAAAAATTCCTAAAGACAGTAGTGGAGCATTCTTTGGAGAACAAGGTATCCAAAGTTTGTGAAGAGGGGTGGGAGACATAATCAGACCTGACGGAGGACATAGCAAAAAGCAGTCTGAAGCATGCCCTGTCCATGAACTGCAAAGCCAGCGTGGGAGACATAGCACCATGACTTGTTCCTTTATGAATTTCCCAGAAATAGCTGTTGCCAATGCTTTCACTGGTGAAAAGAATTGTATCGAAAAGAACAATTTTATTTATTTATATTTTCCTTTCTATGTGTTATGAGAGACAGAGAGAGAGAGTGCGAGAGAGAGAGAATCCCAAGCAGGCTCCACATGGTCAGTGCACAGCCCAACACGGCTCTCAATCCCACGACCCTGGGATCGTGGTTTGTGCTGAAACCAAGAGTCAGACACTCAAGCAACTGAACCAAGTAGGCATCCTATTTTTTTTAACTTTTCATTTTTGACAGCCTTGATCACATGAAGTCTCTTTCTACCCAAGTTTATATTTAAATTCCAACTAGTTAACATACAGTGAAATATTAGTTTCAGGTGTAGAATTCATATGAAATTTCAATTAAAATTGTCACTATCTCTTCTGACCATTGTTATTGTTAGTTTCATGATTGTTACTGAAACTAATTTTATTGTATAGAAGAGGGGAGTATTAAAAATAAATTATCCGGGGCACTTGGGTGGCTCAGTCAGTTGAATATCTGACTTCGGCTCAGGTCATGATCTCACAGTTCATGGGTTCGAGCCCTCCGTTGGGCAATGTGCTGACAGCTCAGATCCTGCCTTGGATTCTGTATCTCCCTCTCTCTCTCTGACCCTCCCCTGCTCACATTGTC